TTTTATTCTGAAAATGATTCACTTCCGGTTAGCATTAGCATGTGGCGAAATGCTGCATTTTCAAACCGTGAATCAAAGGTGAAATGACATGTGATGTTGTACACTGAGCACACTGGGTTTAGCACTCATTTATTGCCGCTGAATAACGTTTATTAGGGAATGTTTAAATAACCACAGACACCAGAATGATATAATTTAACAACAGAAAAAGGCAGGAATTGCATTGGACCAGCCCCCGACGACGCCGGCCAATAGGAGAAGACCTCAGATGACAACAGGAAGAGCAAGCCAAGAATTGACCTCTTCTACCTGCTGACCTGGACTGACCGGTCGGATGAGGAGAGCGCCTCCAATCGCACATTTCATTTTGTACACCACCGCATCTTTTGTGCAATTAAATGCTGTTAACTTTTATAAGTTTCCCTTGACTCTTTTCAGTCTCTCCTGCCTTCAGGGTTCTAGAATACACTAACATTTGGCGTCCCTGGGTGGACCCTGAAGCGGGATAGAGCTGGAAAAGAGGGGAAGGCTGCAAGCTAACTAGCATCACACTATTCTGCAGAAAATGAGTTTTTGGCTGGGCCTAAACGAAAGGTGAGACAGTTACCTGTTTAATTCCGTGGTGATTGCGAGTGGTGTGGAGATTGTATATAGTGTTTCTATTCGTCTCTGTTGTATCTTCGGCGCCGCCCGATTAATGTGAATATTACATAGTATTAAGACCTTCTGGGGAGGCACTATATTTTATCTGGGATAGGACTGGGTCCACATTGTGTTAAATACCTCTGGGTAGGTACCAGACCTGATCTGTTTTACACTGGACTGGGTCCATTCATGTTAGTTTATATGTTTGATGTGTTAAACCTGCGTAGTCTGGTTTAATAACGTATATTGTGTGGAGTTTTTAAGCCAAAAAGTATATTTTTGTGTGATGTTCTAAGCCGAAACGATTGTGTACAAGATTGGTATGAGATCAGCTTTTAAGGTCAGCATCTATAGAATTTAGAGCTAAGATAAATGAAGATTGTGTTTTGTATTGTCAAGCAGTGTGGTTTTTTATCTGCAGATGTTGAGTGTTCCCATTGTTCCCCTTCCCCCAGTCACATGAGGTTAATGCTATACTGCTAAACTAGTTAGCTAGCCAGTTAGCATTACCAGATGGTGAAATACTTTGAGTAAAGATACAACCGGTAACTACTGATTAAATACACAGGGATGGTGTAGATCAGGGGTCCCCAAACTTTTTCCTGTGAGGGCCACATAACTTTTCCCTTCTCTGCTGGGGGCCGGGTCAGTTTGTAACAGAAAAAGTGTGACGATCGCATGGGTGTCTAAACCAAATATTAATAACCCTTTCCGGGATCTTCACAGAAAAAAAGTCAGGAAATAAATAATAACACTATTAATGAAATAAATAACACTATTTATGAAATAAATAATAACCAAATAACCCTCTCTGTGTTCTTCACAGAAAAAAAGTCCATTGAAAATTACTGTAACTTTCTGTTGTGCCGTGCACAATCTTAACAGGTAAAAGTTTAGCTTAGTTGTCAGAGCAGAATCTCTCAAAAATAAACGTGGATTTACGTAAAATTACGTAATAAATTCAGGGAAAACTCCGGCTTTCCGGTCCTACGAAGCTGGTTCTCTTTTTAGCAGGCTAGATCTCCATGGTAACTTATGCTTAGCGGCTAACCTGGTCGGGACCAGGTTAGGTTGCAGGCTAAGAGCTCAACTCAGTGAAAGCACTGCCTGCTGACCAATCAGAGCTCAGTGTGCGGAGTTTAAAGCGATCAAGTCATATTACAGGAGAAAGGAAATACAGAAAAACTGCCGTTGCAGGAAAGACGGCCGGCAAAAATCACCGACTGTGTGAACGTGAACATTAATAGAATATCACCTCCCATCTTCAGAGCAATCTGACTATTATAACATTAGCGTTAAGAACACTTACCACATATCTACCACAACATAAGTAACCGGATCAGAGTAACATTAAGTACAGTCCGCGGCATATCACTTCATAATGTATCATATATTTCCTTATCTGAGTCAGCTGAGCCGTATCTAGCCGTGCAACACTCACAGTGTCACATACTGTATGCAGAAGTATTATTTTAAGCAACACATTAAGTTGACGAAACACTCGAGACAAATGTAATTAAAGTCAGATCGTGTCTTAGACGGGGCAGTGATATCATAAACCTGTTAATGTATGCATTCAAACACTTTTTCTTTTACCAGCTGTATTCACCTCGCAGGTGCAGCTATGTGGCTTTTATCCTGGATAAAGTGTTTAAGTCATGGATGTTTAAAGTTTAACTTCTTCATATGTCTAATATTAAAGTTCACTTTTCATTCAGGAAGTATGACGTTGCGCTGTCAGTATGCTTCTCCATGTTTGTGATTGGTCGAATGCTCCAAATACCACCCCTTTCATGTGAAGGCGCACTTAACTAGATAGGACACGGCTGGCTTGAGCGATCCACTTGATAACCCGCGTCGTAGTACCGTTTAGCGAGAGCGCATATGTTTTAGATTAGGCCAACCGGCTAACTCAAACATATCCAGGTTAGGTTGAACCAGCTTCGTAGTACAGGCCCCAGGAGCCGGGTAAATGAGAGACTGAGGAGCCCCAGAAAAACAGATCCCGAAATAGCTCGAAGACCCCTTCGGGTCTTCTGGGTTGAGAAAGCCTCATTTGGGGGACCGGAGCCTGTCATCCAATCAGATCAGAGCACCTTAGATCAATTCAAGCCAGTGAACCAACCACCCAGATCCCCCCACCACAAATACTCTGTGACTCCCCCTGCTGGCTGCATGCTTGATATGACAGGTAAAGAGATGTTATGAACTTGTGACAAGCAAAGAATAAGCAGGACATCTCAGTCATTGAGCACCTCTCCTCCAAGGAAATTAGGACTAATTACTCCTGCAGCATTTGCTTTTGATCTGTATTTTTGAAAATTATGTAACTTTTTTTAGCATATTGTTTATTATATTATAACTTAGTACTTTTTTAGCATATTGTTGTGTTGTTTGTTTATTATATTATAACTTAGTACTTTTTTAACGCATGTAAGATATGCAACACTAAGCTGTCTGTGGTTCTTTCCTGCTGTAACGCTGCAAATTCCCCCTCTGTGGGACTAAAGGTATTCTGATTCATTTATGTACTATGTGTATTTTCAATGCAGTGTTTTTATATGTATTGTTCAAACTATTTAAAATAAAGTTTTCTAAAAAGGCAAAAGGACATCTCCTTCATTGTCAAAAGCAAGGAATAAGCAGTCAGAGATATTCAAGTTTAAAAATACCTTTATATTTATTTATTTACAAGTTTTACAAATTAAAATTAGGAAGACTTTTTGTTCAGGATTGCGGCCTTCTTCTTCTTCTTCTTCTTCTTCTTCCTGTTGACCCTCTGTCGGTCCCTCAGCATTTCCTTCTCCGTTTTCCCTCCCCTCAACTCAGTGAGCCACTGCTCCACTGTGCGTTTCTGGGGGTCAGAAACCTGGCAGAAACTCTGCCTCGTGGGGCGGTGCATGCTATGCCCCGTGGCCCGGGTCGTTCTCTGGCTGCATAGCGTGCAGGTGCGGTCACGCCTGGTAGGGAACACACCGGCTGCAGCAGAGGCCATCTTTATTTGTAACCTCCACCCTGTGGTCTACGGGACATTGACCTTCAGCCACTGATCCAGGGTCATTCCTGAAGTGGCACGGCAGAAGGTCAAGCCTTGGAGGGAGAGGTGCTCAACCACTGAGATGTCCTTTGAGCAGCCAGGACACACGCGTGGGGGATCTACAACACACACACACACACACACACACACACACACACACACACACACACACACACACACACACACAGGTTTAATGAAAGTGCAGTCAACATCAAACAATATAAAAATATATAAAATAATGTAATCAGCACCTTCATGCTCTGATTTTGAGATAGTTGTGTTAACAGAGTGTGTCTACGTGTGTTCTGGTGATTTCCTAACCTTCTCTCTTGTTCTTGTTCTTGATTTTCTTCTTCTTCTTCTTCTTTTTCTTCTTCTTCTTGTTCTTCTTCTGTAGAAGAGTTTTCTGAGCTGCCCGTTCTGCATGAGGAGCAAAAAGGAAGACATGGTTTTAAGTTAACAGTACATTATCACCACCTTCATACACTGAAAGTGAGATGTTTTTCTCAGAGAAATTAGGGACATTTTGTTTAGATCGTAAACAAATAAATAAAATAAATGTAATAACCGTGTTTACTTTTTGAAAGCACTGGGGGCCAGAACGGTTTGCAGAATTGAAACCTTTTGGGAATCCTGTAGGAGGCAGGGGAGGCCTTCCATTTAGCGATTGCCCTCCCCAAGTCCGTTTGGTTCATTGTTTTTGTCATATCTGCTAGAGAACAACAGTGAAGTTATTGGAGCTGCACATATCAACACCAGAGAGACACAGCAGAGGATCAGAGGAGGACAGATGTACTCACCCATAGCTATAGCCAGACTGCGAGAAAAAAGAGAGTTCCTGCATTTCTGTACCTCTTGCTCAAAGGTGTAAAAGCTTTCATCCAATCAGATCAAAGACCTGTGGATCACCCTGCCCTCCTGACCCGAGATGAGCCATCAGGTTTATAAAGGAAATCATGGCTCCACAGGATGCTGTAATGAACGACTCTGACACCTGCTTTGAGGACGTTTCCAGGACATCTCCTCCTGCCAGGATGCCCTAAGGAACGACTCTTTCACACCCACTGTGGGAAAGCTTCAGTCTCTGGACTCTCACATACTGGGTTCTTCTGTACTCATGTTACTAATCACTCATTTATGTACTATGTGTCTTTTCAATGTAGTGTTTTTATCTGTATTGTTCAAACTATTTAAAATAGAGTTTTCTAAAAAGGCAAAAGGACGTTCCTGTTTGAAACCTGCTGAACTTCAATTGAAGCGCAACAACAGCAGAGGACGAGTGTTGGAAACCACAGCAAGTCAATCAACACAGATATTTAAGTTTGAACTCTTTATTTGAAAAATATATTTACATTATATACATGTTATTGTGTCCAGTGTTTCTTATTGGAGGGACTCCAACCACTCCTCAGGGCTCCTCTCTTTGGCCAAAACAGGGCAGTAGCTCACTCTCTCCCCGCTGGCCTTCACCAGGAGTCTGTGCCCCGTCTCCTTTATCTTTCTCAGCCCACAGGAGGAGCACTTGTTCTGAGACGGGGCTCTGAGTCTCCGACTCTCCCCCCTCTGAGCTGCCTCCGCCTGCTGCTTCTGCAGTCTGAGACGGTTGTAATTTGTGGACTTGGGAGTGTATGAGGCGGAGGAGGAGGAGGAGGGGGCGGAGGAGGAAGAGGAAGAGGAAGAGGGGGTGGCAGGAAAGGGCTCCGCTTCTTCCGGGGGCCGCAGCTCTTTGAAGAGGGTGCCAGGGCCAGGCAGGGGCTCCTCTGCTCGCGGCTCCTCTCCTTGGGGCTCCTCCTCCTCAATTGACGTCTCAGAAAGAAGGGCCTCCTCTGCCGTCCGGGGGGCCTGCAGCGATTGGATCCCAGAGGTGAGGATGATCTTCTCCTGGGCCGCTGTCCACCTCTTGTGCCTGCAGAGTGAACACAGAGGATTAATAAGAGATGTTATCGGGGCCTCAGAAGATTGTCCTGTGTGAATGAACAGACTCACCACTGAGAGAGGGTCTGCTGGTTGACCGTAAACAGCTGGAGGGTCATCCTGGCTACGAGCGCTGGACATCTATAAACCGTAGCTCTGACCTGGTCGTATGCCGTGATCACCAGAGTCCAGCGGCTCCGGAGGAACCCCCACTGTGTTCTGCTGCTGGGGATTACCTGGCAGAGGAGGATGAAGATGTCCTCCACCAACCGGCTGGTGTCGGGCCACGTGGCGGGGCCGCTGCCTGTTCCCACCATGCAGCTGGAACCAGAGGAGAGAGGTGAGTGGATATGAAAACCTGTAAGAGAGCATACACAGCAGTGGGCTGCTTCACCTACCGCTTCATGCTTTCCAGCCTGGGGACGGCCTCTGTGTTGGCTGTGGAGGTCTTTGACTTCTTGAACCTCCCGTGTGTCAGCTGGGCCCTGTAGCGTGAGGGATACACTACACGGCCCTTATCCACATCCAGGAGGTTCTGCCAAAGACCCACGAGCACCTCCACCTCCTCCTGGGTGATGTCTCCCTTCTCACAAATCTCCACCAGACCGTGGGCCAGCCGACGCACCTGCTGGTAGCCGGGGGCTGCAACATTAACAGCAGTGGCCTGATGCGAAGGCCCAGGAAGAGGTGGAGGATGCTGCAGCAGCAGCTGAGGAGGAGACCGTGGAGCAGGAGGAGGAGGAGCAGGAGCAGCAGGAGGAGCAGGAGGAGGAGCAGGACGCCGTGGAGGAGGAGCAGGATACCGTGGAGCAGGACGCCGTGGAGCAGGACGCCGTGGAGCAGGATGCCGTGGAGCAGGATGCCGTGGATCAGGATGCCGTGGAGCAGGACGCCAAGCAGGATGCCGTGGAGCAGGACGCCAAGCAGGATGCCGTGGAGCAGGACGCCAAGCAGGATGCCGTGGAGCAGGATGCCGTGGAGCAGAAGGAGGAGGAGTAGGAGGAGCAGGAAGATCAAATAAATTCTCTCTGTCGTGGTCATATCCCTCCTCCTCCTCCTCCTCCTCAACAGTCACCTCCTCGCTGTCATCGGGATCCTCAGGGAGGGGCTGCAGAACCTTTCCCGTTTGGTTGTACAGATAGCTGATCCCGATGAGCTCACCTGAGGAAGAAAAGTGTAAATACATTCTTAATATCACAGCTGTTCTTCACCTGGTGGTGTTCTCTGCAGAGCCCCACACAGAAACCTTCCAGAAGCATCGGCTCTGAAGCATCACCTGTGTACTGCAGCAGCTTCACGTAGCTCTCCACCAGCGTGCTCTGGAAGAACTGCTGCGTGAGCTGGTGGAGAGTGTATTGCTCCTGGCCGCTGTAGCAGCTGGTGCCGGCCCCCTCGGCCCCCGCTGCCGCCTTTCCCCGGTCCTCGTTCCACCTCGTGAGCCCCTCCAACAGGAACATCTGGAAAAAGGTCCCCCTCGCAGAGGAGCCTGCAACATGACACACAAACGTCAGGATTTTACACCCAGGGAGAGAAAGTGTAGAACTCTTAGAGCACGGTGCCTCACCCGGGATGAACCTGTTGAGGTGCAGGTGGAAGGACTCCAGGGACGTGGAGCCACGGGCACAGCGGTAGACGGGCAGAGACACCCCCCCCCCCCGGGTCAGCTGTCCCGTCCTGGTGTACAGGCGGACACCAGCAGGATCCTGAAGGGGAGAGGCTCTGATTAATCAGTGTTTTGTCTTAACATAAAACATGTTGAATGGTTTCATGTAAGAGCTGTACCTGAATGCAGGGGATGTGTTGCCTCTGTGTCTCCAGGATCTGCTCCATGCGGTGCCGCTCCAGCAGGGGGACGTTCATGGTATCAGTGGCCCCCATGAACGCCTCCACCGCCTCTCCAAGGAGACGCTCGGTCTCCTGCACCCCACGCGTTCGGCGGCGGCAGTGCCGACCCATCTCCTTGCTGGACGGCGTCCTTCTGGACCCGTCCGCCTGCAGGGCCGTCTCCAAGATGGACAGGTCCTCCGCGTCCCACTCAAAAATGCAGCTGGAGAGACGCCGCATGTACTCGGGGTAGAGGGGGTGGCTCTCCGAGGTCACACCTGCTGCCAGTCGGCGTATAAAATGCCAGATGTCCAGCCTGACAGCCAGGTGTGGCCAGGCGGGGAAGAGAGCAGCTGCAGCGCAGGTGCCTCCGTCCCTCCGGCAGCAGTCCCTGTCCACATACAGGACCTGTGGAGGCTCCTTCCCTGCCAGCTGGTACCGCTCCTGCAGGCCCCTTGTCATGTCTCTCAGGCCGTAGCCCTCAGCGGCCGTCAGCACGGACCTGCCCCAGCTCGTTCCCCACGCTGCTCATCCACAGAGCGGTACCAGCGTCGGCTCCCGCCAGCTTCTTGGTCACCTGTGTCAAATGATCATATAATCATTTAAAAACATATAGTCTTATACTCTGATTGCCTTATACACTGTTTCATTGTATTGTTAGTCTTGTATGTGTTTAACAGAGACAGATGTTAAGGGTTTACATTTCAGGAGGGTAAAGGTGATTACATTACATTACATTTCTCACCTTCTTGGTGGAGTCCATTTTGAGGATGGAGCCAAAGATTGAAGTCACCTTCGCCTTAAGCTCCTCTATCTTCGTGAAGGACTCCAGGACGGAGGAGGAGGAGGAGGAGGAGGAGGAGGAGGAGGAGGAGGAGGAGGAGGAGGAGGAGGAGGAGGAGGAGGAGGAGGAGGAGGAGGAGGAGGAGGAGGAGGAGGAGGAGGAGGAGGAGGAGGAGGAGGAGGAGGAGGAGGAGGAGGAGGAGGAGGAGGAGGAGGAGGAGGAGGAGGAGGAGGAGGAGGAGGAGGAGGAGGAGCAGGAGGAGGAGCAGGAGCTGTGCACAGCAGAAAAACACACTTGACATACCAAATAGATGTTATTATACAAAGCTTAATAATGACACAAAGCACAGACTTACCTAAATCAGCCTCCACCTGAGCCGCTGCCTCCACCATCAGATGGTCGTCCTCGTCTTCTGAGGAAGCTGCAGACACAATTTAAAAAATGTTCACTCATCACACAACCCCTGACTGACACAGTAACACTCCACTGACATGATACATACACAGGAACGCTGGCTTTCTCTTCCTCCGCTGTTTGGGGGGAGATGTAGTGGAGGGGGAGACAGCTGGGGAGGTGGCGGCTGCTGATGCAGCTGAGGAGGCGACAGGCTGCTTCTCCTTGTCCCTTCTGTCGATATACTCCTTCAGCTGCGCCAGTTGGGACCCGGGCCTCCTGACAGACTGCTTCCTGAGCCACTTCCTGTACCTGACATTGAGATTGAGAGGCAACAGTTAGATTAATATCACATCAAGTATTTCTACAGCTAGTGATGAAAGTCCCACATGGCCTTACGTGCTTGGCTCCTTCTCCACAGTCTCGTACATCTCCCTGTACGTCATGGCTGTGAATACCCCAAAGCCCACCAGCTGTTCGTGTTCTGCAGCCATGCCCGGTGCTCTCTTCCTGCTCACAGCTGCCATCACTGCGGTGAAGAGCCCGGCGTACTCCAGCAGAGCATCCTTGTTCCACATGAGGGGAGTGCAGCTGACATCCCCCACCTCACGCTCTCCCTGATGCCCTGCCAGAATTGTTGCCGTGTAGCCCACGTCATTGGACAGCAGCCACTGGAAAGTCTGACCCCGGTACTGACCGAACTGGAGCTCTGTCTGGCTGAGGAGCTGCCAGCGGTCCGCCGGGTTCCCCCCCAGCAGTGAGACCCTTGACACAGCTTGTGTCTCAGCCAGCTCCCTGGTGTTGGAGGTGAGGCGCGGGGCTGCCCTCTTCAGGTTGTCTTTGGAGACTCTGACAGCTTCTTTGCTGGCCTTCAGCTGCAGGTCTGATGTACCAGCCTGGAAGGTGAAGGACGGTTTGTGATCCATTCTTCTGAAATCACATCAAAAACAGTTAAATCAAATCAAATCAAGTTTTATTTATATAGCACATTTTTAAAACGATTTTTGGTCGAGCCAAAGTGCTGTACATGCAATAAAAACACATTATTACAATAGCAAACAGAAGACAATAACTTACAACAGCAAAAATAAAAATCACACACTCAGCCGTTTTCGTCCTCGTGTGGCCGGGGTCTGACCCCGGCCACACGAGGACGAAAACGGCTAAACGCATAGGATTAACGCAAACGCAATCGCAAACAAGCTTCCGTCCACACGCAATAGTTATCCGGATAGTGTCTGTCCACACGAGACCGCTCCGTTTAGCTCCAACCGCTGGAGAAGCTGCAGTACATATGCAGGAGCCTGTACGTGGCGCTGTAACTTCCTCCACAAAAGTAGCGAAGAAGCATGGTTGTCCTTCTGTTTATTCTCCGCGGTGGGGGCCGAGGGAATCGGGCAGAGTTTTTCGCCAGTCAACGTGTATTAAAGTTTAAACCTTCCGACAAAATTATAAAAGTGCCGGTCAAAGGTCTTCTTTGTTATTTATTGAGCTTTAAAACAAATGAATAACGACTTTATATAATATAATAATAAAAATACACGGAGCCTCTCTTTTTCCACCCTCTCTTCGGACAGCGTCAGTGTCTGTCTCATGCAGCAGCTGATCCAGTAATGAGTGACCCGGCCGACAGTAAAAATAAACATATTTATAACTAGTTTAGGTAGTTTGAGAGGTGTCTCCGTCCTGTCAGATTAGACTTCTCTCGCGTTTATGTCCATATCGAGAGAAAGATAAATAATCTGAATTCAGTGTGCAGTTTACTTTGACGCGGGGTGAGCAGCAGAGGTGGGGAGAGACGGGGCTATTGCGCAATCATTATCAGAAAATGATCGCTGAAGCTGCAGTACATATCCACAAAAGCAGCGAGTAAGACCCCCCCTGGATGTGTAAGTCTGCTGTAGATGTTGCACAAAGAACTGTAGCATGGTCAGTAGCGTCCGGAGCACGATAGCAACTCTGCGATCCGCCATTGTTGTTGTTGTTGTTGTTGGTGGCGAAACACATCAGCAATGGCGCGGGGTAAGCGGAGGTGAGCAGAAGAGGTGGGGAGAGGCGGGGCTATTGCTATTGCGCAATCACTATCAGAAAATGTTCGTATTGGGCGCACACACGGAGCCGTTTGACCCCCCAGAGCGTTGCGTATGCCGTTCTATCCACCTTGGGACCCGTTATCGTTTCCTCAGTCGTTTAGTGCCGTATTCGGTCGTCCTCGTATGGCCGAATGGTCTATATGACACTAAACAGTAACGCAAACGGCCGTTTTCGTCCTCGTGTGGCCGGGGCATCAGCTCTGACTCAGTTAGAAGCTAGCAGTCAAGTACTTCACAAGTACATGTGAAGTACAGCAGTTAGTTAGCACAAAGCCTCTCTTTGGAGAAGAAGGCCTTTGAATTCAGGTGCACGAGAGAGAAACACAGATAGTACACAGGATGAAATAAAGAGGGATGATAAGAATAACAAGTTAATAACAGAATATGAAATGAGAAAAAACATGTAGTAACAGTCTGAATAGAAATAAGGAAAATAACATGAGTAAAAGCTGGTTCTGATTTGAAAGATAACACTTTTCCATCAGCTCAACATTAACCTCAGAGGTCTGACTTTAAATGAATGATACTTATTACATTATAATAATAATATTCGCCCTATGGTAGCCTTCATATACATGTTAACTTTAGTACACTACCACATAGTAAATACAAATTACCATGAGCATTAACTTCATGAACATTTAAATGTTACGTTAGTGCAAAGTAAAAAAGCATAACGTGTTTTGCACCTAGCAAAGTGCAGGAGAAATGCATGTTGTTGCCGTAGTTCTACTGTTAAGACTGTAAATGGCGGATTGGCAACTTTTAATCACGAATTGTGCATACAGATGTTAACTTCATAAACGTTAGCACAGCAATAAACATTAAATGACAAGTATTTACGGATTTAAACGGCCGGAAAGCTCCGGTGTGTTTCTGGCTTAGCGGCAACTTGTTACCAATGCTAATATGCGCGAACGTTAAAAGACAACACATTGGCATTCATCTATATTACATTATAACGGACTGTCGTGTTAAGAGTAATAGCGGAGTTTATGTTACCTTTTCAAAAGCCTGTCAGTTATGATGGCTGTTCATTTACAGTGAAGACAAGACGCTCCCCGCTCAATGAGACGTCATCCAATCAGAGTACTAGAACTAAGTGAGCCGACCAATGGGTGGACACAAGATGTAAACGATAATGCCATAGAAATGAACGGGAGGGGCGGAACTCTAAATGAGACTTTTTGAGCCTGAGCAGGCCCGATTATCCTCGCCCCCTAGGCGCAAGGATGACACGCAAATTCGTGAAGCGTTCCTCATTGCCAATTTATAATGATTTTTCCAACATAAATCCCGATTCCTAACAAGCAGAGGTGGAAGAAGTACTCAGAACTTCCAGTTAAGTCAAAGTTGCTGATTGAGAATAATGTGGTTATTACTCTTCAGCAGATTCCGTTCTTAGAATTAATTAAATTAATTAATATCTCTGCTCTCGGTCGGTTGAGCAGTTTTACCACTACATTTGCATAGTGGTTTTGATTGAGAATAAGGTAGTTTATTGCTCATCAACTGAATTAATGTTTAACAACACAAACTTGTATTTTCTGTTAATCACACCATAAGCTCAAGAACTAAATTGAGCTATTAAATGGGAAGGGTGGTGGCAGAATATTACATTCACACTGTGTTTAATAAACTTACGGATTATTGAATTGGATTTTGTTTAAAAAAATAAATAAAAATACAAATAAAAATAAAAAAACAATAAGTAAAAATAAGTACTGATATTTCCCTACCCCCGCTGAAGTTTCCCTAATTCGGATTAAAATTAAACTGGATGAGTTTAGCTGTCACCTGATATTTGTTGCGGGTTCATGTTTGTTTGTATAATTGTTTCGTGTTTGTTTGTATACCTGCCGTCTTGTGCATGTTTTTGTAACAACTAATAAATTAATCAGTCCACAGCCAAGGTAAAATTAATCTAAATTTCCGCAAAAGGAAAATAAATAGCAAAAAAGCCTCTGTTTTACACCCGGGAACCTCAGAGGCATAACTGCGGGTCATCTGTCTGCTCAAATAGGTCAATGTTGTATTATTTGTTTCATTTATTCTTAATCTATGTATTGTATGATAATAATGAAAATAAAATAACCTAATGTATTTAACACATTCCGAAACAAAGCAGATAAGACAAGACTTAGACACAATGGTGATTGAACCTTTTTGCACGATTGATGCAAAATGAAAACTTTGTCATTATCTGTTTCCAACTGGCCACTGGAATCAGATAATGGATATGAGTTGAAGTTCAATTACAGTTTTAAATATAGTTCAACATCCTTTTCTATACTCTGCTTGGTGCTGCAGAAGAAGAAAATAAAATAAAACGCAAGACACGGGGTCAGAGACAGGCGTGACCTCTGGAAGGAGAAGATAATCTGAAGCAGACCACGGCGCGACCCATTGGGGGTTTTATGACCATAGCACAAAGGAAGATCTAATTTCAGCAGTCAGTTTTTTTGGCAGAACTTTTGAGCATTTTTAAAATGTCTTTTCTTGCCTCTGTGCAAGGCTTAGTCTTTCTATCAGTATAGCCACTGGTGTAAAGTAACTAAGTTCATAAACTTAACAAGTACTATACTTGGGCACAATTTTGAGATACTGGTACTTTATTTGAGTATCTAAAATGTTTTGCTGCTTTATTTTTCTACTCCACTACAGTTCAGTGGTAAATGGTGTACTTTTACTCCACTACATGTATTTAATACCTTTAGTTACTTTCAGCTGTGGATGAATGATGTGAAATCTAATCAAGTGTTTAATCAGACTTTAGTTCCACCTGGAGTAAATCCACCAGCTACCGTATGCAGTATACAAAGTCATTCAAACTAGCTTCTCCTTTACCAGCTTTGAGAACACTTTCATGATCAATCATTATAAAACATATCATATATAGTATTCTGGAATAAACCAATCTGCACAACGACTACTTTTACTGTCGCTATTTTCACTATATTTTGATGACAATACTTTTCTACTTTTACTTGAGTAACATTTTGAATGCAGTACTTTCACTAACTTAGTATTCCTACACTCTGGTACTTCTACTTGTACTCAAGAACAAGATCTGAGTACCTAAGCTAACGTTAGCCAGAAACATTCCATTTTGACACAAAGAACAATGGGGTAATTTCAAAGTAATTCGAAGTAATTCACACAGCCTCTTCCCTATGGGAGGAGCAGTAGTTTCAGCTTCATTTAAATATGTCGCGTAGTTATAGATGGATTTATTTTTTCCTCTAAAAGAGAGAATGTGTATTTTATGTTAGTATTTCAAAAATCTCCTGGGGGAGAATCCCCCCAGACCCCCTGCGGGGGTTGGGTTTTCAGCATGTGAACTCTTTCACTTGTGAGGAAATGGCAGGATTGGCTCCAGGTCGCCTTTTTATTTACTACAAGACAAATGTTTTTATTTTATTTTAATTTCATACAGTTCAATTTGGATTGAGACAGGGAAATATTCTAAACCTCACGCGTGGCGTTTCACTGACAAGGGGGCGATATAGCGTGTATGTAATTACATTTCAAATACTGATTTGAGCCCCACCACTGTATGGGTTAGCCCTACCATAGATTATCTAACACAAATACTCGGGAGCCGATAAGTCAATAAGTTGCTTATCGCGACAGGCACACAATAAAACAGTGGAAACAAACATGTGTTTGACTTTCATTATTTAATGAAACTGTGTGCCCTTTATAGTCTGTGTCCAATATTGTGTATTTGTATATATATATTATATATATATATCCTAAATATATGCTAAGGTCCCGCTACGGACACGATAGCAGTCGCTTCGTGCGCATGTGTGTAATTAAACCCATGATATCAAAATCTCACTCCAGCCAGGTACCCAAAGTTAGCAACCCTGTCCATACCCCAATAATATTTTATTGATGACAAGTTTGCATCCCTGCCTGTTATCGTTTTCATCACGGAGCTGGAAAAATGGTGTATTGATTACTGATCTGTGCAAGTCCAATTTGTTAACTGACTTTGGTTCTAATGTTAATGTTAATTTGATTTCAACCCATAAGTAATTATTTAAATTACCTCAACATTCCACATGATGGATTAGTGTTCCACATTTTTCCCACTAATTTGTTTATGATTAGGCCAATGGTAAAGAGAGACTTGATGACCCTGTGTCCTTTTTGTTAGCACGAGGTTCCATTTTGTCTAATGGCGTTGGACAGCTTCACTAGTCACCCAGTTCTACCCTGCTACAGTCCGGCTGAGTGCAGTCACAGAGATGCTATGGCTGCTCTACATGACATTAATGGTTTGGTCCGAGAATGGACACCATTTCCTGCTCCCAGAGAGAATGACGCTCCTCACACTGAACAATACAGCCATTGACACTGTCTCACGTGGGTCTGCTCCCCCCCACCGAGCCATGAACTGGAAGCTGGAATTCTGAACACTTGGAACTGTCACACCAGCACCAACCCTTGGGTCAGTTAGATGAGACTAACGGCTTCACTTAGGGCATATGGGTCAGAAATATGACTCTCGTTACCACGGAGTGGGTTGTTTGTTTTTTAAGGCTATTCATACTGCTATGCAGAGTGAAGAGCCCCTACTATTTTAACAAATACGATGTCAGGGGCCTCTTACTGTCTACTTCTGCATGTATTCACATTATATGGACCATGTTTACACCTGTTGAAACTAGGGCTGCACGGAACTCAGGCTACAATACAACCATTTTGTTCTGCTCTAACGATTCAATTTATAAATTCTACATCAAAATAGTTCGGTTTATTGTTTCCAATGATAACGTCACCTTAAGTGGAGGAATGCAAACCTGTTTTAAAATGTAAGGTTTTGAATTTCTTTGACATTTCTCAGTAATGACACCCTCAGACGCCCACTATCATTTATGCCAGTGGTTCCCAAACTTTGTTGTGCCCAAGGCACACCAAAGGACAAGTAAAAAATCTCAAGGCACACCTATTGTGAAAAGATAGCCCTTATAACACGTGTTATCACTCATATTATGTAAAATATCTGTAAATGTGCATAATTATTTACTAATGCCAAATAAAATGTGACAAAGACAACTATATTACGAAATATTTCCGAAATGAATTTGAAACTTTATCAAATTAGGCTTCATCAAACCAGCAACACACTCATTTACACCAGACAGGTCACAAAATAGAAAATGAGGCAAAGGAAACTCAGCAGAAATTCAACACAGACAACTGTCAATGCAAGGAAGCTGCATTGTCCATGGTCCGGAACTACAAATTATAAATGTATTACTTTAAAAAAAAAATGTAATATATTACACTACTTCGTTACTATCTACATAAAGTAACTCGGTACTTTACTCGTTACTTTCCTCGCCGAGCACGTACAAACTGCGCATGCGTGAGTGGCAATAACTTTCCTTACCAGCAGGCGGCGGTAGTCAAGCCCCCAGGTAGTGCGCCGGACTCAGATGAAAATATTCGTGCTGGCCAAACGGCGGTACTACACTTCCGGTTTGGTTGCCAGGCCCGAAAACACTTTTCCCATTGACTTACATGGGGAAAGAGTGGTCTGTAACTCGTTGGATAATTTTTAACTAAATAAACTACCCAGTTTGAACACTTGTATAGCCCTTATTAAAAAACATTCGTTCCTCAAGTTGTAAAACATTTGCTAATAACGTTATTCTGAGAGTTATTTCCCTCTGCATTATGAACGCGCATCTAATCCACGGGACCGCGCAGCCCGGCACGTTCATGTTACGTGTCCCGACCAATCAGAGCACACTGTGCTCACAGGGAGGGTGCTGGAGCCAGGCTCTGGATGGAGCTTTTGGAGCTACAACGAGCGTTAAAGGCAGAGAGTGAAATTCAGTGAATACACGTAGTTTACAGATATGCTGTATGAGGAACCAATGTGAGTTGCGTTTATCTTTACCCATGGATGCACAATGGGAACGGATCCATATCGTCTTACTGCCATCCCACGGAGCTGTAATAATGGATATATTGCACATGTTTGCTGTAATTCATTGTCATACTACATGGGCTGTATGATTGAATCTTGTACCGTAAATGTTGTATTAAATGGAGTTAATATTACCGATATCACTAGATCATTACTAGCTAGCCGCTAGCTGCTAACTGCCGCCTCGTTCATATCGAATCCATGGCGGTAGTGTGTATTTGTCATTTAATACAGGCAACAACCGGAAGACAGAGAAGAAGAATAGACTGCGTGATATAAAAATAATGGGCATACCTCCACCCCTCGATAGTTATCGCTGACTCAGCCATGTTTATGCAGCACTGCACGTGGAGATGTGGACGCGCAAGTCGCGCATATTACGTACATAAACCTACAAAGTACTGATATAGTAAATTGAAAAATAAATGATTATTTTTGTGTAGTTGTATATTGAAAAAATAATGTATGGTTGTCACGGCACACCCGGATTTGCCTCACGGCACACCAGTGTGCCGCGGCACACCGTTTGGTAACGGTGGTAACTCAGATGCTTACATGGACTTGTATGTTTTTCCTTCATATCTAACAGAAATAAGAGAGAAAGAGATGGGAAAGTGAGTAAAGAGGGATAGGAAGGAGGAGAGATATTTGCGAGTTGCATACTGACTCTGAGTTTTGTCGATTAATAGCTTATATAGACAATACCATGCTTAAATAGACTCCTAAGTTATTATTTCATATGTGACAATATGTAAGAAAAGGGAGGGAAGAGTCAAATTATATTGAGAAATTGAGCAATTGATTTCATATTGGAACATTCATTTCTCAAACCTATGTTTTATGGAAGAGGAAATGTACTTCTGATAAACTAATCCTTGATCAAACGGTAAATGGTGAATTAATATAACATTTATAATCATTGAGAAAGGGTTATTCCACAGGGACTAGCTCACATTTAACTTAAAATAACATTTATCTGCTTTGGACTGATGAGTATATGATTCTTGCATGTTAAATTACTAACACAAACCTTACATTTATAATGTGCATGTCTCAGGAAGGCTCCCAAATCATTCTGAGGGGGCCTATCCTATTTTTGTAATTGAATGATAATGTGTTAATCCATTACCTTGAGTTGTCTGCACTCAGGAAAACATCCCTATCAAGTGTTAACCCAATAACTAGGACAGCTCTGAAGGCCAAGGGTCAGAGAGAGAGGATCACACTCTGCGGCTGCAGAGAGCAACTTATCCACGGGCAAGGAGGTCGTTCGAGATGAGAGGATTCTAATCTTCAACTTTCTGATGAGATGGGATGCTTCTTCATTTTCGCTCGCAGGACGAGCGATGGCTTCATACAAGGTTTCTATGTTTCTTGGAGGAGCAGATGTTTTCATAACCTCTCCCATCACGGGGGGGGCATCTGGATGTGCCACTTGGAATAGGCAGGTGCTCTGCTCTCAAGCAGATAGCAGAAGGAATGCAGGCAGATGAGCCTCTGTTTCACTGGGAGATCATAAAGTGCTCACTGAATTGAGCCACAAAAGCAGAGCAATTGGGGGGGATTGAGATATGGCGCTCTGATGAAGAAGAGTTTTGAGCCAATCAGCACCTCAGTGCTAATCTACAGATAATTGAGTTATGGCGCTCTGATGAAGAAGAGTTTTGAGCCAATCAGCACCTCAGTGCTAATCTACAGTATCAGGATGCCTTTACACACCAGACATTCTGTGTCATAAAAGAGAGGAGGAAAACATGTCTTCTAGCTCTCGTACAAAGATAACATTTGAATTGAATGACCAGATGATTACAGATGTACAATTAATGATTGTTTTTGTATTCCCAATGAACAGATATGTGTTAAATAGTGGTGATAAATATATTTGATCAGATTACACTTTCACACTAAATTAATTAATTGATATTTTCAGATTTATAAGGTATTGAACAATAAGATATTTCTAATATTATAACAGACAATGTTACTATCCTTAATCATTACCAGGTAAAACAGATGTTTTGATATTGATTACAGTGATGCTCTAAATAAAGAACAGATGTTTTGATATTGATCTCAGTTGATGCTCTGAATAAAGAACAGATGTTTTGATATTGATTACAGTTGATGCTCTGAATAAAGAACAGATGTTTTGATATTGATTACAGTTGATGCTCTGAATAAAGAACAGATGTTTTGATTTTTTCCTTTTCAGGTTGTTATACAATAAAATGTTTGATTCTTCAGATTGTTAAACATCTTGAGAATTGTTTAGCTTTCCCTTCAGATTTTGAAATGACATAATGATTGATAGTTGAAGTAATGTAATTAATTAAATATCATGCCTTACTCTTGAATAAAGCGTAATGAAGTAAACGTAAAGTAATGTTAAAGATTGAGGACACTGTAACTTTACAGATTACAGATTGATCGAATCATCACTGTGAATTTATACCTTAACTAGGAACCTTAGCTGGATCTCTCATGATTCTGATTTAATACCTCAATTGGATTTATTATAAATCCTAAATTCTAATTGTGTTTTAATAAATAATTGCCTTGAAGTAAATCTTTGAGATGTAAGCTGATTTAGAATTTGTGTTTGATGAATGAGATTAACTGAGTGATAAATGATAAAAGATCTTATTTTTGAAACATATATTTTGCTATAATATTCTGTACCCCATGTGTTTATTATTGTACCTTTTGACAAAAATGCCAAGCACTGAAGAGAGATGATTTTTATTATGATTGACTGTGTTCAATCATGGTGATTGAAGTGTTTTTCAATCTTGTTCTATTTTTAATGTAATGAATGTATCTGAGCCCACCCAACTCTGAGGACGCTTATTGATTTTAAGTATTGACTGAAATATTCTTAGACTAATGTTAATTGGTTATCAATAGATTGATAAAAAGAGTGACTCTGTAAGAGAATATTTTCATCTGATCTGTTTATAGAGTCTTTTATGGTTCCTTAGAGTCTGTGATACTGCAAACATCTGCTTGTAGTCACTCAAAGACCCCTCTGTATGGTTGAGGTCACAGGTCAAACGCTTCTCCGATATCCGTGGGGGGTTTGAGACCTAGCAGCATCTCTTTGAGACAAGCAGATCATTGTCTTGCATCGGCTATTGATTATACGCGGGCTTTCTGGAAGCCCGCCTCTCCTCGTGTTGGTTAGATGTTTTGTGTCTTTTGGTTCAGAGATTACCTTGGTGGAGCACAAGGACAGTGTGAAACTAGGATGATTTCCAGGCCGTATGTAATTGTCTGTCTCTCAATAAATATCAGTGTATTGACAGGTGAATCCAGTTTCCCTCATTTGATGATGCGCTCAACATTGCTGCAAAGAAGTTTTAACTTCACAAAAGTGAGGTTGCTTCTCTTGTGAAACCTGTCCATTTCATCCACATTTGACTCGTGAAATGTACAGCAGAGTCACTGCTGTAAGCAGGGTCCCACACTCACAGGCAGAGATCCAGGGTGATGCACATGGCTTTCTTACCCGGGAATGAGTGTGTGTGTGAAAGCTGGGTAAAAGTGATGTGAATACAGGGGGGGAGAGAGCAGCAGCAGCAGGCTGTGACCCAGAGAGCTCCTTCCAGCAGCTGGCTCAATCCCACCCAGAGGACAGGCTGCTGCTTACAGAGTCACTGGTCCCACACTCACAGGCAGAGATCCAGGGTGATGCACATGGCTTTCTTACCCGGAAATGAGTGTGTGTGAAAGCTGGGTAAAAGTGATGTGAATACAGGGGGGGGAGAGAGCCGCAGCAGCAGGCTGTGACCCAGAGAGCTCCTTCCAGCAGCTGGCTCAATCCCACCCAGAGGACAGGCTGCTGCTTACAGAGTCACTGGTCCCACACTCACAGGCAGAGATCCAGGGTGATGCACATGGCTTTCTTACCCGGGAATGAGTGTGTGTGAAAGCTGGGTAAAAGTGATGTGAATACAGGGGTGGAGAGAGCCGCAGCAGCAGGCTGTGACCCAGAGAGCTCCTTCCAGCACCTCGCTCTCTCCCACCCAGAAGACAGGCTGCTTCGCAGCACTATGTAACCCAGGTATGTAACAGCATGAAACCTGTCCATTTCATCCACATTTGACTCGTGAAATGTACAGCAGAGTCACTGCTGTAAGCAGGGTCCCACACTCACAGGCAGAGATCCAGGGTGATGCACATGGCTTTCTTACCCGGGAATGAGTGTGTGTGTGTGTGTGAAAGCTGGGTAAAAGTGATGTGAATACAGGGGGGGAGAGAGCCGCAGCAGCAGGCGGTGACCCAGAGAGCTCCTTCCAGCAGCTGGCTCAATCCCACCCAGAGGACAGGCTGCTGCTTACAGAGTCACTGATCCCACACTCACAGGCAGAGATCCAGGGTGATGTACATGGGTCAGAAAAAGTCTAAGTTAACTTTTGGAAGAACCATATAAAAGGGTGAAAATGGATAAAAATGTACCCCAAAATAGTGACTCTTAAGGCGGATATAGTCCCCTGACAACTCCCGTTACATTCCTCCAGAGTCAGAAAAAGTCTAAGTTAACTTTTGGAAGAACCATATAAAAGGGTGAAAATGGATAAAAATGTACCCCAAAATAGTGACTCTTAAGGCGGATATAGTCCCCTGACAACTCCCGTTACATTCCTCCAGAGTCAGAAAAAGTCTAAGTTAACTTTTGGAAGAACCAGAAAAGAGGGGTGAAAATGGTTAAATTGTACCCCAAAATAGTGTCTCTTAAGGTGGGTAAAAGGTATGTGAATATGGGGTGACGTATATGGACACTTGAGCACCAGCAAGACCCCCACCTCCATAACCTTGTGCACCAGGCGAACCTGTGTACCCACACTTAAGCACTCCCCCACGGACTAAACCAAGAGGGAACACCGGTCAGAAGTTCGTGCCCCTGGTAACACTGAATAACAAAATAATATGGGGGCATGCCATTAAAACTGCTATGCATTGAGGATTTTAGTCCGAGATGAGTGCTTATCTGCGGGTATCTTGTGTCAGCTTCGTGGACCTCAATTT